TAAAAGGGTGACTGCTTGCTTTTTGGGAGTACAATTTTATGATTATTGTCCTGATTGGTATCATTGGTTTGAGAATAATTGGATGTATGCATTGGTTTGAGAATGAATTTTGGGTTTGTTTAGATATGCAAAAGTTTCTGTGATGGGATAAAACCAAAAGTGCATGACTCATTGTGATACAGGTTTAAAATTATGACTAAGCATGTTGTCTATGATTAGAATTTCATATATTGTTTACATAGATTAAGCCAAGGTCTTAAATAAAGTAAGATTCACACGGTGGCTTGAAAAGTTGGTTTTCTTTATTGTAAAGGTAGAAAATATTTTCTCACAAGAAAAGAAGGTTATCTTTTTTTACCATTTTAAAAATTAAGTATACAAAAATGTATACTCTTTATATGAGATTAAGAAAATTATAAGTTGAGAAAATATATGTATCTTTACATAGATGTTTTAATGAAATAATAGTGTATGAATTTATTTTACATGGTACCACATGACCGTAATATTACGGTGTATAAAGTATATTAAAAATATGTAAAAAAATTAAGTAATTTAAAATATTTCTTAATTATGCGGGTAATTTATTAATTACCGGGTAACGGGACATTACCTTATTACCTAATAAGTGGATAGAGATTAAACTTTCCCACCCCATCAGCACGTGGCAGCCCCCTCACCTTCTATTAATGACTCATTAGTCATTTACAAAGGTGTCACATTGTTAGAGAATACAATAAAATCTACACATACACCTCCTCACCTACATATCTCTCAAATCCCAGAATAGCTTCCCTATTTATTCCCCTTTCACCTAATTCTTCGTATTCGTCTTCATCTCCTTGATTCATACGTATATGGTAACATAAGCTTAGTGACATGATATTGTATTGTTTCAGCTCTTTTTGATTTTAAAAGGACACATTTTTTCTTGTGGTGTTTTGTGGAGTAGAAAATGTAAATGGAGGCTAGAGCTTCACAGAGCCTTCAGTTGTCATCATGGATTAATTCGGATAAGGTAGTAAGGGAACCCGGTGGTTGCTTGCGTTTCTCTGTGAAATGGAATGAAAAACTGACGCATCATACAGTCATATCCTACCATTTACAACTTAGAAAGGCTAATAGATGAGTAGCATTGAAGGTTTCATGTTCTTCTCATAATGTTCAAGGACTTGATGTAATCTTTCTCAGGAGAATTGGCTCAGGTATGTTAAGGCTATCACTTATTTCTTTTGGCATGATCCATACGATAAAAACGAAACGAGCAAATGCACAACTTTCATAAATGACTCTATTCATGGAAATACTAGGGGTGTCTATATTATTTTATCATCTGTTCACGGGTCTCAAAAATACGTAAGTTGGTAAAGTTTATTTCATGACATTAACCAGAGGTATAATGGTCTTATGACGTACCGAGAGATTTTATTAACGTATTTCATATACATTTCATGCATTTATACATGTTCATTTACCCATGACTCAAACGGAGTTATATACGCGTATATATATATATATATATATATATATATATATATATATATATATATATATANACATGACATTCATACTCATATGCATGACACCATAAGTATTTCACAATTTATAGCGTTATCCGGACTTACAGGTTGAGTCCTTTACTCCATGTTTCTTCCATGCTCTTTATATATTTATTTACATGTCTTACATACTCAGTACATTATTCGTAATGACGTCCACTTGTTGGGGACACTGCATTCATGCCTGTAGGTATAGGTAATCAGTTTGACATGCCCTCATAGTAGAGGAGATTGGTATTCAGCGAAGGATCGGTAAGACTCCACCTTATTTGGAGTGCAGTAGTGTCTATAAGTCATCATGCCAGAGTTTTTCTATAGACTTATGGGTAGGCTGTACCCTGTCCCATTGATGTCAAATAATCTTAGAGGCTTTATAGACACAGTTTCATTTTGTACATTATGTCTGAGGCCTTGATGGCCCATATGTATTTATGTTCTAAGAGGAATGGATCAATGGTACGGTGTTGCCCAATTATAGTTGAATATTATGAGTTGTGGGCATGTTGGCCCATGATATTTACAAAGAGACAAAAAAAGTTACAAAGTGGTTCGCTCGGGCCAATGCGACACCGGGTGCCAGCCACGCCTCCCAAGGTTGGGGCCTGACAAAGTGGTATCAGAGCGGGTTGTTCTCCTTCGGAGAGGGGGAAGGGTTGACGACTTTTGGGCTAAAGAATGGTAACAATGAATGAAAGGTGCTTTCACAGGGTGATGGCGCTCAAAGTAAGGCAGAGCGGGACCGGGGCTTTGGAGCAGAAGCATCATCTGAGCATGTCGTGTCCGCAGCTATTGGTTCTGGAAAGAGGGTTTCTCCTTTGCGGAAACTCGGGATCGCATACACCAAGTGATTGTGCTTCGACCGGAGTAGGCTCTTTCAGGGCCAAAGGGACTGGATTAGCAGGTGTGCGTTCGGCCTTCGAAGAAGCCCAGCGGCTTCAATTTGTTGTGAGTTTTGGCACAGGTTTTTCGAGCTTTGCGCCTTCCCTTCCTTATTGAGTTTTCTTCTGCAGGCATTCAACAAGCTTAAGTCTGGGCTGCTTCATTGTGAAGTCAGGCTACAGAAAGCTCTGGACAAGGAGAGATCCCTGAGGCTCCTTTGTGATGAAAAGAAAGTTGAGCTAGTAGATCTACAGTGTGAGGTGGGCCGGAGCCTGAATTATGAGAACCACCTGAAGGAGCAGGTAGTTTTCTATCCCGGGTGAGTGTGCATTCTGCCTCCTAGCTCCCAGGGCTAATACATAGTTTATTTTAGTTGCAGAAAAAGACTGATGCCTTGGAGCGCCTTCGAGATGAAGTTGGCCGGACCAGGCGTGAGCATGATGAATTGAAAACTCTGGCCGAGGCTCAGGCTTTAGAGGGGAAGGAAGCTCTTGCCAAATTTCTGGCTTTTGAAGCTCAACTTTGCATAGCTAGTGACAATGCTTTGGTTCAGACAGAAATGATTGCAAAGCTCGAGTCTGAGCTTTTGAAAGTCAGGGCTGAGATCATTGACGATCGGGCAGAAGCTGCAATGAGTCGGACTAAAGCTGACCATGAGATGGCCATCTACTCAAAGAATGCTGCTGATGCTCAAGCTGAGTTGAGAAGGGTCCTCGACCGTGGAGGGAGGATTGAAGAGTATGCTCGTTGCATGTCTCTAAGAAAGACCCTCGAGGAGATCCGTGATAAGGGCTTCGCCCTCTCGGAAGAATTGGCTCGAGCAAGGGCGGATGAGCGTGACGCTCGGTTGCTTTTGCCCGATGCCGAGGACAGCGAGGATAAGACCGATAGGCCATAACCCCCAGGGGGAGGGCATAGATTTTGTCATTTGTATGTAGCATTTTCAGAGCATGTTTGTAGCTGGAGGTTGCGTTTCTTGCATGTGTATGAAAGAAAACCTAGCGGCTTTACTCCTTTAATATATTTTTCTGTCTTGATTTCGGCCAGGCGAGCTGGTTTGCGTGTTGGTGGGAATCGTCAGAGTAGAGATGTGGCCCCGGGGCTCATTGGACTAGCCCGTAGGCTCTTACGTTTTTTTTCTCTTACGCATAGTTAGGCCACCTATTTTGGGCTTAGTCCCCTAGTTGGGCATCGACTCGAGTGTATTTGACCTCCAAATGGCCAAATTTTAGGCTAGCGGCTTTTGGTCGATGCGATCTTTTAATGTAAGCTGGCGGTGATTGCTCTCACGCTTTGGTTCGAAGCGACCTTTTAATGTAAGCTGGCAACAATGATTCTCACGCTTTGGGTCGAAGTGACCTTTTAATGTAAGCTGGCGACAATGGCTCTCATGATTTGGGTTAAAGTGACCTTTTAATGTAAGCTGGCGACAATAGCTCTCACGCTTTGGGTCGAAGTGACTTTTTAATATAAGCTGGCGACAATGGCTCTTACGCTTTGCCCTTAGGCATGTATAGGTAACTATTTTGGGTCCGGTCTCCAAATCGGATTACGACTCAAGCTCATTTTGACCCTCAAGTTTTCAAATTTTAAGCTGGCAACAGTGGCTCTTACGCTTTTGGTCGATGCGACCTTTTAGTGTGTGTGGCCCTGAGGCTTATTAGGCTGGCGACAATGGCTATTATGCGCTTGGTCGATGTGACCTTCTATGTAGGCTTTATTTTCCTCTCGTTAAGGACTTTTAAAGTAAATTTTGCCTGACTCATCGTCGGTTCGGGAAGAACCTCGATTTCGAGTAACTTGCGGCGATGTTCGACTACCTTGGGAGGTTTGGCTCGGAGGCTGAGTAGCTCGAAACCTATGATTTGGTGCTGACATGATCGAAGCTCATTTTCCTATGTCGAGGGTAGCATGTTTAACTGGTTCTTTCCGAAGTTGATTCGGAGTAATTGAAGGCCTGTGTGGCTAGCGACAATGGCTCTTATGACTTGTAGAGACGGTCATGCGTCCCTAAGTCGCGTTACTTCGGCTGGTACAGTCGTGTGACCGGAGTCACTTATGTTTAGCAGGAGCCTTTGAGTCCCAAGTGAAGTAGTTTCGGCATCTATATCAAGGGTATGCCTTTTTAGGGGTCTTACACGTTAGATATGTAGCCTAAACTTTGGGATCGGGTCTATGCCTTTAGTGAGGTCTTACAAATTTTGCATGCCATTGAGGTCTTACAGTTTTAAGTGCCATTGAGGTCTTACAGTTTTCCTTGTCGTTGAGGTCTTACAGTTTTCCTTGTCGTTGAGGTCTTACAGTTTATCATGCCGTTGAGGTCTTATAGATTTTCATGCCATTGAGGTCTTACAGTTTTACATGTTGTTGAGGTCTTACAACTTTCCATGCTATTGAGGTCTTACAGTTTTTCATGCCATTGAGGTCTTACAGTTTTTCATGTCGTTGAGGTCTTACAGAATTTTAGACCATTGAGGTCTTACAATTTTTCATGCCATTGAGGACTTACAGATACGATTGTTGCCTTATGTAGGTCTTACGAGACCGAGTCTGCCCGCACGGGGTCTTATGGCCTCGAATTTTGATGAGTCAATGGAAATGGCACTTGACGGCAGTCCCCGAGTCGTCAAGAGTTTCTTGACTCGGGAGCATATTTTGCAAATTCTGCATTGCCTCATCGAGGGCTCATGATTTTGAGATCCTGACCTTGGGGTCGTGCAATTTTCTTTTGAGATTTTGACGTTAGAGTATTTGAGGTACTTTTGGAATTGGAGATGTTTAGCGGATTCCTCATTGCCTTATCTGAGGACTTACAATTTTGGAGTCCCGACTCGGAGGTCATTTAGGCGTTGAATTGTTGACGCCAGTTCCCGAGTGTTTGGGATGTTTTCGGCGGAGGAGTTGTTTTTGCGAAGGCACTGAGCATCTTTTGGAGCGTGAGATGCTTCGATAACAAATATTATTCAATTATTTGGTACAAACGTACACATTTTTGCCGTCAGGGGCCCGGCTATACGGACACGGTTCGTTAGACCATTTGGCGCGGTAAATCATTTTCCTATAGGGGCCCGATTCGGCGTTTCTTGGATTTTCTGAGAAGATGGCCTTCGGGGGGGAATTCCCCTCAGTGTTTTGAGTTTAATTTCCAAAGAAACCTCGTACACTTGTTGAATCTCCCTTAGGAAACATGCAGATGTTGGATCGTTAAAAACTTTACCGGTATAACCCTCTTCGGGACAAAAACTCGGTCGAAAGAAAAGAGTGCAACGGATGCTTTAAAACCTCAAGGTCTTTGAGCTGGGTTAACGTTCTAATTTCTTCGATCGGGCGCCTATGTAAGGGTTAGTCTGAAATACATAATAAAAAGGGAGATAGTTATACCTTAGTGTGAGACACGCCAGTGATGTTTTGAGCGTCGATATGTTCTAATCACTCGAGATAAGGACGTGGTATGGTCCTTTATTTTTTTAACTAGGCTTAATAGGAGGTGTGGATTGCTTACCCTTTTGGCTCTTTTGTAAGCGGAGGTATGGGTACCGGTGCCACGTCGTGCACCGCGAACATTTCCCTCGCCGCATGTTGTTCCTCGTAGACGGTTTTAATTCCATCCTTTGTTGGGAATTTCATCATTTGGTGGAGAGTGGATAGTACTACTCTTATGTAGTGTATCCACAGCCGTCCGAACAAGGCGTTATACCTCATCTCTTTCGATGACATGGAATTTGGCGTTTTGGGTCATGCCGGCCATGGTGACTGGGAGTATGATTTCTTCTTTTGTTGTTTCACTTGCCATGTTGAATCCGTTGAGGATTCGAGTGATGGGCATGATTTGGTCAAGCAGTCCGAGCTTCTCTACCACCCTCGACCTGATAATGTTGGTCAAGCTACCTGAATCCACGAATGCACGTTTTATTTGAAAAGAATTTACAAGGAAATAGATTACCAGCGCATCATTGTGAGGCTAAGACAAGGTCTCGGTGTCCTCTTCGCTAAAAGTGAGGGCGTCCTCGGGAATATATCCCCGGGTTTGTTTTTCTCTGGTGATGGATATTTTTGTCCTTCTCATTACGGGTTGCTGCGGGGCATCGAGCCTTCCAAGATCATATGAATGACATGTTGTGGCTCGTTTGCTTTATTCTTCTTGGCTTTCTCGGAACTGATTTTTTATCTCGATCGCTGAGGAATTCCCGTAGATGACCTTTGTTAAGTAGTTGAGCTACCTCTTCTCGGAGTTGGTGCCAATCCTCGGTCCTGTGGTTGTGTGTGTTGTGAAACTCGCACACTAAGTTGTGATTCCTTTGTGAAGGATCTGATTGTATAGACCTGGGCCATCTGGCGTCTCTGATTTTACTAATGGCGAACATGATGTCCGATACATCGATGTTGAAGTTGTATTCTGACAAGTGAGGTGCCCCCATCGGCCCTGCGCTCCTATGGAATTTGGCTCTGTTGGTGAGTCCCTGAGGGTCCTGTCCTCGATCTATCCTTCGATCATTGCACGGTGGGTTGCGCCTCGGGCATTCCTCCTGTCTTCGACGTATGGCTGATATCTTTCTTTGTTGGGTTTTGGCTCATTTTCCAGGAGCCTGCTTGGGTATACTAAGCCCGAGGGGGCTTCCAACTGGTCATCCTCGGCCCTAATTTCGATTGGTACTAGTTGTGGACGTCCAACCAGGTCACACCTGGATACTCGATAAAATTCTGTTTCAATTATTTTGAAGCCACCGAGCTTCATTCATTCAGACCTTGAGTGAAAGCCTGCACTGCATCAATTCTCCCTTTCCTTAATCTTGAAAACGTCGGATTTCCTTATTGCTACATCAATGGCACCGGCATGTGCCTTTATGAAGCAGTCTGCTAGCATGGCGAATGAGTCTATGGAGTTAGGAGCTAAGTTGTGATACCACATCATGGCCCCCTTCGAGAGTTTTTCCCCGAAATTTTTCAGAAATACGGACTCGATCTCGTCGTTCTTTATATCGTTGCCTTTTACCGCGCAAGTATAGGCAGGGATGTGTTCATTAGGGTCTGTGGTCCTGTTGTACTTTGGGATTTCCGGCATTCTAAACTTCTTTGGATGGGTTTCGGGGCTGCTTCCTCGGGGAATCGTATGAACTTCTTCGAATCCATACCTTTCAGGACCGGGGGTGCACCCGGAATTTGATCGACCCTAGAGTTATAGGTTTCGACATTTTTGTCAATGGCTTCAATCATCTTCTCACCCGACTCGATCCTCCTAGTGAGGTCCCCGAGCATTTTTATGATGGCAGGATTGGTCACCGACCCGTTATCGCTTGATCTCTCCGGTACCTGTTCAGCTGGGGGAGTTGTCCACAATGCTACCGTGTTGGGAGTTTTCTGGTGACTTTGCAACTGAGCAATAGCTAGATGTTGTGCCTGCAACATTTGAAAAATAAAATGAAAGCTAACCTCATGTTCTTCCCAGGTCGGGGTTTTCTGAGCTTCTTGTTTGATCTCTTTGACGCACGTTCCTGTTGGTATGTGAGCTTACATCGATGTGTTGGGCGTCGTGCGAGACCGCGTCCATGGGGATTGGTCCTGGCGCATTTTCAAGGTTTTGTGGTGGCACGCTAACACCCGGAACATCCACACCGTTATCCCCATGGTCCTCGAGATGGTTGTTTTTGCCTCCATTCACCGAGTTAGACATATTGACCTGAAATCGAAGATATTGGACAAGAAAAAATGTGAAAGATAACTTGCGTTGAGTGACGAAACCAGCAAGAAAATAATCACTATTATTTTTCTTGTCTCTTGACTAAGAACACAAGTTTTGAAGCTAGGGTTCTTGCACACACACTTGGGACTTGATGATTTGAAGCTTTTGGTGGAGATTTTCTTACCCATTTTTACTTATTTCTTCATTTCCTTGCTTTGTATTGAATATCTAAGTGTAGTGTATTTATTCCAACACTTGAATCATGTTTATAGGAATATTCATATATAAAAGTTGGATTAAATATCTATTTACCGCAAAAATGGTAATAACAATTAAATTTG